ATCACCTCACCCCTGATAAGGAACTATTTCAAAAACTTAGACTCAACAACTGCTAGTGAGGACTTGAAGGAAAAGAACACTTACCCATTATCAGAGGAAATGTAACTTGGTACATACTCTATGGGAAACAACATGGAGATTGAATCTTCAAAAACATAAAATTGGAAGTAGCTGTGATATAGAAAATACTACAGAATATGACAACTAATATTAAAAAATTTATGAACTCCACATTCATAGCAGCTTTATTCACAATAGCTAAGTCTTGAAACCAACCTGAATGTCAATCAATAGATGAGTAGGTAAACAATATATGGAATATATATACTCCGTGGAATATTACTAAGCTATTAAAAAGAGAAATCGTGTGTCTTGGGACAAAACGAATGGAATCTGAGGTGTGTATGCTAAGTGAAATAAGTCAGAAAGTGAAAGACAATTGGCAAGTTATTTGCCTCACTTGGAGAACATTAAAAAAAAAGAAACTGCCAAAACAAACTAGCAATGAAAGTCTTAAAACTATGAAAAATATATTGGTTACCAAAGCAAATAGGGAAAAAAGAGGAAGTAATAGGGGAAAGTAGATGACACTTGGAGTCTTGGTGGCAGATGAGTGGAACATGTGCACGTGTTGAGGTATGAAGTTGTACTCCCAAAATTATAGTTATGTGAACTACTGGAAAATCAATAAAATTTTTAAAATGTAAAAATGCAATTATCCCTTCCCAAAAAAGTTTAAATACTTCTTTTCACTCATTTCTTCATTCATTTTGGCAAGACCATGTGCCAGAGGTCCTGCAAACCCTGGAGAACAAAGTCTCTGTCTCAAGGAACACACGTTTTAGTCAGCAAGCAGACATGCAGAGGTAACCAGATCGCAATGGCAGGAAGGTGATAGCAAAAGCTTTTAGAGAGCATAGGGAAAACATGGTAGAGGAGAATTCAAGCAAGTTTTTGGAGGGAAGGCCTCCTAGAGTTCAGCCTTAGAAATGGAATGAGAGAAACAAGTGAAGTCCAGACAAAAGCAACAACAAATGCTAGTAATATAAAATAAATAAATAAATGGAAAACTCAGAAAAATAAATAATTGATACTGGCCAAACATTGAGGTTCACTGCTTGTGATACTCAATAAATAGTTCACTGGTTGAGTAAATCATTAATCTAGAGGAAAGAAGACTATAAAGCTAGATGATAGTCAGTTCCTAAAGAGAATCTAGCCCTACACAAATAATTTGGATACAATTTTTTTTAACTACAAGTTGAAAATGCAAATGGTTACGTGATCTTACAGAAAATACAAATGAAGTGGACCCAATTTTTTTAAACTTTGTAATAATGGGGACTATATATGAAAAAGTTGCATTAATTAGGTACCAGATAAGGTACTGTCAACACACAAATGTCTAATATATGACCCATGTTCTTAGGTTCCACACATAAATAAGACCTCACAATATAGTGTGATGACTAATTCCACTTCCATACCAACTATGATGGTATCACAGAGGGATTTGTTTGATTACATCTAAGGAAATCAGGAAGATCGTGCAGATGAGATTATGTTTCAGATGAACCTGAAAGATGAGGGTCTATTTCAAGCTATACTCTTAACACTCTCCCTCCAATCCAATCAAACTGGTTTCTTCACTGTCCCACAACACTCTATATGGTATGTACTCTCTCAAGTCTTTCACTTTATTTAATGTATCCTACCTCCTTGTTTTACTTATCTAATTACTTCTAACTCTTAAAGACCCAATTCAGGCCTTCCTCATGCATAAAATCTATAACTATCTCCTAGTTATCAAGTAATAATTGAATTGTACAGAATCAAGATACTACTGGAAGGTTGAAATACGTTTAGTAGACAACAGAGTGTGGATATGCTCAGGAAAGGGTATCTTATTATGTGTGACAAGAATGAGGGCCCTCCCTGGTGGCGCAGTGGGTTAAAGCACAGCACTAGGAAGCTTAAGCCACTTCTGCATGAGTTCGATTCCCGCCTGCCCAGGAGGAGATCCATATGGCATGGCAGACCTCTCCTGACCCTACCCGCTGCTCCCCTCAGCAGTGTATACTTCGTCGATCTGCCTGTTCTGCTCCCCACTCTGTCTTTGGTGAATCCTCTCACCCCCCGCATCTCTGGCCTGTACCCCAGTTCTGTATGAATAAATAAATAAATCTTTTTAAAAAAAAAAAAAAAAAGAAGAATGAGTCAAAGACTCACTGGCTTTGTGATATGTGGTAGATCTTTTAGCCTGTTTTCTTCAATTGTGTTAACTCTAAAAATAAAGCCTTATCTTCACACGGGTGACTTGGTGATGGGAAACCCATGGAGATTACAATTGAGAGGAAAAAAAAATGTACAAAATGATGTAAAAATAAACTATTATATTATTAAAACATAATAAATAAAGCCTTATCTAAATACTTTCAGTTAAAAGATCATAACGGTGATTTTTGAGAAGGAATTTGGTCAGGATATTCCAGCAGGATTTCCACATATGCTTTCAATATTTTCCTTATGTACAATGATTTGAGTGAAAAATCACTACTCAGAAGTAGCAGTATTGAAGAGTATCTTCTTATGGATTATAAAAGGTCATATAATCCTTATCCTGGATTTAGGAAATCTCACAGGTCACTGGTTCATAGCAATTAAGTTAGTTGTCTTATTTCCGTTACCACTTTGGTCACCTCCTGTTACTCTAAGAGTAGATTATCAGTGATTCTTTTTGAAGACTTTTATAATTTCATGGCAGTGACAAACAGGTATCATTGGTGTAGAGATTTTAAGTATTAAAATTACAGATAAACTGCTTTCAAAATGGTATCCTTATTCCTTTGGCATAAGGAATCTATGAAAGTATGCCAAACTAATAATTGGCATAATAACTAATAATTTTTATGTTAGTTATCATAAATCACTGAGAATGAAATGCTTGCATTTTATCAAGTTTTTGCTACTGATATTCAATTTGCCTCACTCCAACTTTCTGTATTAGTTACAAGCAAAAGAACAAACTCTGGCTAAATTTAAGCAAATCTACTGGCAAATCTATTGAATGAACACTTAAATATTAGATGAATTCCCAGGGAAAATCAAATATGGAGAAGACTCGATCAACTCTAGGGACCTGAGCAGTGAGATTTCATGGACTTCTTACCAGAGAATGTCATTTTATCTGACTTTAGTTCCTGTGACTTTCAGCCTATATTCCACAACCCACACACCCTTTCAATTCCTGGGAGACAGCATCTTTTCAACACAACTGGGTCAAATGTCCTCCCTGGGCATAATCCACTATTAGGAAAAACATGTTACAAGAGTAATATAATATAAACATACTCACTAGGGTCGAGCCTCACAGAAGAGGATCAATTTCCAGAGAAAGGTTGGGAGCCAGGAAATAACCTCAAGAGTACAGCTACAAATTATATTGTCTGCTATGATTTTTACCCTTCCCCAGCCCTACCCTCACTTTCAGCAACCAGCATCTATTTAACATTGCCTAAAATTGTATACTGAATAGTATCAAATGGTTTTCTAGTAGACATATTTTATAAAACTTCTAAAGGCCATTATTTTAGTGGCCCCCTGTCACTCTATAAATCAAAATGTGCACTTTGACTCTGTATACTAATTCACTTTGACTCTATATACTATATAAAGGCAGTCAAGCTTCACTAAAATATACCATAGATTAGCAATCAGATACAGTCTGTGAGAATGTAACTGTTACTCTGACAACAGGATATTCTTTCTCGATTAACACAGATATTCAGTTCATTTTCTGAAAATAAAATCTAGATAGTAATCAACATCAGATATTCTGCAGATAAAGGCACATACAGTATATTAATATATAGACTGCAGATATGGTATATTTATACAATAACCTGTATGTGCCTAACAATAACCTGTTAAAAAAAAAAAGAAGATGTTTTTGGACAAATTTAATAACCCCTTCTAGATCTTTACCCTGATCCTAACCGGTATCTGTACACCTTTACTTCTTGAAAATCTAACTTTTCTTCTGTCTTCATATTGAACTAGCAGTTGTTCCTTCTTATAGGTCTGTTTTGCTGCCACCTGCAGCCCTGACTATGAGAGAAATATTCCAAGCTCATTTTTCTTTTCTCTCTATACCTTTACTCACTGAACGTATCACTATAACTGCTACCTCAGGGCCTTGATTGGCAGCGTATGCTGAAAACTACTCCATGTTTTACTCTGCTGTTTCTTTAAAATTATATTTTTATAGATCTGGAAGAACAATATTATCACCCTCAACAAGTATTATGTCACAAATCAGAGCACCTCTTAAAATTACAACTATCCTAGATTTCCCTAGTCTTAGAAATATTCCAAAGCCTTGGAAATCATGGAGTCTTTATATCAAATCGCACGGTTCTGATAACAAACCTGCAGGCTGAATCGAATCTTGGTACTTCACTATCAAAAAACGACTTTCCATATAATGTTGCTGTGGTCATCTAAATTTGTATCATTTGAGATAAACATGGTCCCCCAGATGGGGAAGGGAGATACTAAAATTAAGACAAATTTGTGTAAGAAAATTAGCTGTAGCGCTATGCCCTTGCTCTATCCATTCATAGACTTCAGTGCCATCCCTTAAAGTGCTTCTAAATCTGGAAAACCCATAACCTATTACAACCAGCCTAAATTGGCGGCTCATGACTACAAGTCCCATGATGCAAAGCAAGAGCCCGGACCAAAATTGGGTGTAATTCCGCCTGAAAACTGCAGGGTTCTGATCACCTCCCGTGAAAATAGGCCATCAGGCCCTCCATTTCTCAAAAGTGAACTTATAAAATAAAAGTTAGGACAAAAATGGTGAAGTTTTTACCATGATATTGGCAGGAATCCAATTGCCACTGAGCGTGGGCCCCCAAACGCAACTCAGCGGCTCCGAGGGCGGGCGCGCTTGTCGTGACGCCACTTCCTGGAGCTGCGTCCCGCGTCTGGCCCCTCCCTCCACCTCGCGAGGATCCGGGGCCGGGCGGCCCGGGCAGAAGCTAGCAGCTACTGATTTCGGGTCCGAGGATCACGTGAGACTTGTCCCTACTTGTGGTGGAAACGAAAAGGTGAGGTTAGGTAGGGTCGTACTAACCTGTTCCCGGGAAGCGCGCTCCAGCGGTATTGCAGAGTGGGCTGAGGTAGGAAAGGGTTAGCGGGTTAGCGGGCGGTATCCTGGCGCTGGTGCGGTGACACCTGCGCCCCGGTAGCCTGCTGACGGTGGACAGGGTTGACTAGGAGGTTAGAGGGGCGTCATGGGAGCTTCTAGTCCACCTTCAGGACCCGCAGAGTCCGCCCAGTTTCTCAGAGTCGCTTACCGCGCCGTGGCCAGCGGACGTGGGGCCGTTTGGGGAGTCCCCAGGAACCCAGGCAGCGATGGATCTTGCCACCAACCCAGCCGAAACCCCGTGGCCTGTTAGGGACACCAGCCGGACTTCCCTAGGATCGAAGGGTTTTGTTTTTTGTGTGTTTTTGTTTTGTTTTTGTTTTTGTTTTTGTTTTTCACTTTTCTCATCCTCATCGCATTGCAAAGGCTCAGGCTACCTCACCTGCCCAAGGTTTTCCGGATAGGACTAAGATGATGGTTCTTTGGAGCATCTCGACCCCTGGGCAAAAATGAACAGGCTCTTAAGGAGCCAAATATGTTCTCTTAACTTTTGGAGAGTTCGCTCCTCTTTGCTTGTCAGCGGTTGTGTTGACAGTGCTCCCGCTCTTTCTTCCTCTGTGCTGCTGCCCAGGTAGTAGAGTGGCAAAGGGCAGCTGGATGATCCCACAGTCCCTGAGAAGGTTGAGTGTTCGTTCGGACTTACTTACTTCTTTCTTGGGGAGCCATTAGGCGGGACCAAGGAGCAGTTGAATCAGCAGCTCAAATTTACTGACGCGTTAGTGATGGGGAAGATTGCCAGAGCCATATGCGGGATTGAAAATCTTATTTCTGCATCTTTCCAAATTTGTCTTAACGAGTCCCAGCAGTAGAGTTGACTAGGCAGACCTGTTGCTTTATATCATTTCTCTGGTCTACTGTAGTTCTTCCTTTGTCTTAGTTTATTATTTAGCAATACGGTGGTGAGCCTTTTCTCCTTTGCATTATTATGAAATCATTTTTAGATTGGGTAAATTAGTCCATTGACAACACAGATTCAGTCTGAGTTATAACGACTTGTACCCTCAGTTTATGATATAACAGAATTAATGGTGATCTGGAAACTAAATAACTTTTATACTTAGAATTATTTAATCTTGTTGGTTATATGTTTTTGGAGTTTGATGTGATTGATTAAAGTTTTACTTTTTTCATATACATTTGACCCCCCTGGGTTTCCTGGAGTGTTACTTTAAGAGCAGCTGTAGCATATAAACTTCACGTTCCCTGTTGTTAATTCTTTAGTTTAATCATAAAGCAATTAAGGAATTTTCCTCCCTTTCTTTCCTTCTCTACCTACCCTCACCTACTCTGTACTGTATGTAGTACTATCAGGACCCTAAGCAGGGAATGAAGCCTCAGAAAGGTTCTTACCATTCTTCCTCTTTTCAGTTCTTTCTTATAAATGAAATCAGGTTAACGTGAACATTGCAGAAATCCATCAAAGGAGTTAAAATGGGAAGAAAGAATATGTAATAAGGTCAAGAAAAAAAGTATGGAGTAGTTCTGCTCTCTTTAAATCAAAGTCCCTTTTAAAAGATATTTAGAGATAGGTGCAACGAGTTAAAGCGCAGCGCTGCAAACAAACCTCAGCCACTTCATTGCTAGTTCAATCCCCAGCCACTAAGGTGATCCACATGGCTTAGCAGACCTCTCCTGGTCCGCCCACTGCCACCCTCAGCATTGTACTTCATTGATCTGCCTGTTCTGTTCCCAGTCTGTCTCTGGTGAATCTTCTCACCACCCATGCACCTCTGTCCTGCACCCCGGTTCTGTATGCATGAATAAATCTTTAAACAAAAAAAGAAAGAAAAGAGATAATCTTTTAAAAAAGAGATTAACAGAGGAGGTTTGAGGGCATGTTTTTATTCTAATAGAGTGTCACAAAATTAAATAGATATGAATATTGTGTTTTCTTTTAGATAATCCTCTATTTTAAAGGTTAACCTTTCAACATGTCCTTCTCATTTTTAGATAGTGAATTTCTAAGAAGAAAATAATGGATTGCCTAATAGTTATTGTCTAAGTGTTTGGACTCAACAGCAGCGTGTAGGTTTTTGCACAGGCCAGAAGAAGATGGCAACTCCTTATGTCCCAGTTCCTATGCCCATAGGGAACTCTGCTTCCAGTTTTACAACCAACAGAAACCAAAGAAGTTCTTCTTTTGGAAGTCTCTCAACAAGCTCAAACTCTTCCAAAGGCCAATTAGAAGACACAAATATGGGTAATTTTAAACAGACAAGTGTACCTGATCAAATGGATAATACTTCATCCGTCTGTAGCAGTCCCCTCATTAGGACTAAACTTACAGGTGCAGATTCTTCCATTGAGTATTCTACTAGACCTAAAGAAAATGAAGAACAAAATCCTGAAACAGTGAATTGGGAAAATAGACCTTCTACACCTACTATACTGGGTTATGAGGTGATGGAAGAAAGAGCTAAATTTACTGTGAGTACAGTGACTTACGCTCTGTTCATCAGTAGAAAGTTAGACATTGACTAATTTGTGTACTAACCCTGTGTTGTTAGCCTAAGTTTGTAATTTCTTGAACTTAAAATTCAAATGGTTTTTACCCCTTAATTCTTTTGTGCTAAATTTTTGTTTTACTTGAATGAATTTTCATAAACCAGACACACCTATGAAACTAGCACACTCCAAGAAACAAGAACATTGCTGACATCCTAACAGCCCCATCCCCAAGCTTTCCTTCAGTCATTACTCATACTTCTGACAACCTAGATTAATTTTGCCTATTTTGGTTAATTAGCTAAGTGGAATTATGGCGTATTACTCTTTTGAGTTTATGTTTGTAAGATCCATCCTGCAAGCATGCCAGTTATAAGTCTGATCTTACATATAGTTGTAGGTAGTTCATTCTTAGTACTGATAGTATCCTTTGTGAAAGTATCAATTTGTTTATCCATTGCACTGTCTAGTATTTGGATAATTTCCACTTTGGCCTCTTAACAGATAGACTGCCATGTTAGTGCCTGTCCCTCAGTAAACACATGTACACATTTCTGCTTGACATCTCCCAGGAGTAGAATTGGTCCTCCATATGTCCGATCTTATAAGATACTGGTGTGAACAGTATACCAGAGTAGTCATATGATAAACAGTGCATGAGAATTCCAGTTAATGCACATGTTTCTAGGATGTGATATTTTCCATCTCTTTCACTTAATCTATTTTAGTGGGTACAATGGTAATCATGTTGTTTTAATTTGTATTTTCTTAATTATTAAAATGAAGACTTGGACATTTGAATAGTCATTTTGCGAAATGACTTTTTGTGAAGTGTCCGAGACTTTTGTTCTTTTGTGTTTGGGGAAGTCTTTTCCACTTTCATTTGTAGGTTTCTATGTTTTTTTGTTTTTTTTTTTTTTTTTAGTTGAAATCCTTGCTGAACATGTGACTGTCATCTCTCACTCTCAGGCTTGCCTTTTCACTTAATGATGCTTTTGATAAAAGTTTTTCATTTTAATATAATCCAATTTGCTAAGTTTTCTTTCTTGGTTACCACTTTTTTAAAATTGTTGCCTACTCCCAGATTGCAAACATATTGTCTGGTGTTTTCTCCTAAAAACTATATAGTTTGCCCTTTTACATTTAAATTTGTAAACTACCTGAAATTGATGTTTGTCCATAATGTGAAGTAAGGATCAAGACACATTTTTTTCTCCCATAAGGGACAAGTAATCAGGTTATTAGACCACCCACTACATGTGCACTGTTGTCTGTGTTATAAGTTAGGTGACCATAGACTCTCTGTCCCATTTTCTCCCCTTTACCAATGCTGCATTGTTAAGACTAAAGATCTGTAGTAGGACTTTGTATCTTGCAGCTTCAATACTCTAACTTTGTTGTTATTCTTCAGCATTGTCCGACTGCTCTTTTCCCTCGCCTGTGGGGTTGTGTTGAAGGGGGGGATCCGAGGCGGAACTGACATCCTTCCTGGGATCTACAAACCTAATGCATTTACTTTCATTTCTTTTAATAATATTTTATAGTTTTCAATAAAAAGGCCTTATGTCTTGGTTAATTTCTCTGTAGGGATATTTTTTGATGTACTCAATATCTTTAGTTTTATTTGCTTATTGCAAGTTTACATATTATCTGAATTCATGTATATTTATGTATCTAGCAACCTTGCTAAATTCACTTATAAGTTGAAACAGTCTGTTCTTTCTATTGGATTTTCTTGAAGTAAAGTTTTTATACTTCAAAATTTCATGACATAAATACATGACAGGATGGAAGGACCTCTAGGAAAACATTATTGACATAATTTATGGAGAAATACTCTAGAGTTGTCTTAAGATTGCTTATGTTGTGGGTATCTGCATACACTTGCCTTTTTTGAGAGTGATTCCAGAAGTTACAATAAACTGGTGGCTTATTTCCTTACAATGACCTGCCTACCTTGCAAAGGAATGAGCCTCCAGTGAGGTGATATGTATACTTGAAAATACAGGTTTGTGGACAAATTTAAGGCAGTGGCATATCAATTATCAATATAAAGTCTTTGAAAACACTACAGAGGAAGAGGAAAATGGCAGATATGAAATTAGTCATGTCATTTATTCATTAACTCAGCATTTTTTTTCAGTGCCCATTAAGTGCCAGGCACCATTCCAGACAATAGTTGTACAGCAATTCAGATAAATGAATGAATAAATGATAAGTGCATATCTTAAAATGCTGGTGTGAGTGCTAAAGAGAGAAAGATATAAGGGGTAAGGCCTGAAATTGGAGTTATGATTTAAATAACCTTGTTAGACAAAGAATAGATATCAGCACTAAGAGGGGGCAAATCTTGACAATATCTGTTGAAAGCGCTTTCCAAAAAGATGGGAGAGTTGCAAAGACCCTTGTGACTGACAGCAAAGTAAGCAACTGGAAAATTATAGGAACTAAGATAACAAAAACAAGGGAGTGTGGCACACAGATCAAGTAGGACATGCAGACCAAGTAATTCTTTAGATTTTACTCTGTTAAAAAGCTAAGAAGACATTTCTTCAAAGAAATGCTAATGGCCAATAAGCACATGAAAAATAAGCTTATATTATAACAGCACTTATTATAATCAGGGAAATGCAAATCAAAATTACAGTGAGATACCACTTCACACCAGTAAGAATGGCACATGTTAAAAAAAATAATAATAATAACAAATGCTGAAATGCTGGCGAGGGTGTGGAGAAAAAGGAAGCCTTTTATACTGCTGATGGGAATGCAAACTGGTCCAACCACTATGGAAAGCTGTGTGGAGGACATTCAAATTACTAAAAATAGATCTACCATGTGACCCAGCAATTCCAACCCTAGGTATCTACCCACAGGACATGAAACCATTAATTCAAAAGGAAGCCTACACTCCATGTTCATTGCAGTGCTATTTGCAATGCCGAAAGATATGGAAACAAGATAAATGTCCAAAAACAGATGACTGACTCAAGAGGATGTGGTATAGATATGCAATGGAATACTACTCAGCAATCAAAAAAGATGAATTCATGCCATTTGCAGCATCATGGATGGAACTGGAAAAGATATGCACAGTGAAATAAGTCAGAAGGAAAGAAAAATATAGAATGGTTTCACTAACGGGAGATATATAGGAAAAAAAGGGGTAGAGAAAGAAATAAATAGAGGCAAAGTTTGCAGGCAAACTATAAATTGGAGATATTCAGCAGGTAAGGAAGAGGGATCAAAATGGGAGGGAAAAGCACAAAGACTCTGGTGATATTTCCCAAGTGACTTCATGGTAAATTTTACAGTGATTACACTTGAAAAATCAATTAAAAGGGGGCAGGTGCTTTATGTTGCTTTAGGTGAAAATCTTTGGGAATAGTCACCTGCTCTGACTTAATTTTTTTAAAGACACTTTCTGGCCACTAAATTGAGACTAGGTTTTGTGGAAGAAGAATGGAAACAATAAGCAGTTAGGTTCTTGCAGTAATTTCTCAGAGATATGATGACATGCATGGAGTAAGGTGGTAGAGATCCTGAGAAGTTATTAAGATTCTGTATCTATTTTTGAAATTAGAGCCTTGGAAGCCTATTGGAGGAGAAAGAAAAATCAAAGATGATCCCAGAGTTTTGATTTAATCAATGAGAGAAATGAGGTTGTCATTTAACTCGATTTTTGTGGGAAAGATAGTTATGTGTGAGATGTGAGACATCACAATGGAAGTGTCATGTGTGTTTCTATGTGCATGTGACTTTGTACACATGTGTGGAGAAGTATGAGCTTAGAGGAGAGGTTGAGCTAGATATAAAAGCTTAAAGTTTGTTTGTAAAATAATTTTTCCTAGATATACTTTTGTTAATCTACTAACTGAAGTATTAGAACTTCTGTGAGTTCTTACATAATGCAGACTCTTTGAAAAGATTGATTAAAAATAAAAAGTGACTAGAATGAGTCATGAGTAAGATTGGGAAAGGGACACAAGATAGGCTTCTTATACTAGTAATGTTTTGTTTCCCGATCCTGGTCCTAGTTTCATGGGTGTGTTCACTTTGTGACAGTTCAGTAGTTATATCCTTATAATTTGTGCACTTTTCTATATGTATTTTATAATGAAATGTGTGCTTCATGTTGTAGTTTATAGTCCTAGAATAAGAATTATCTAAAAAAGTAGTACCTATTAAGTTTCAAATAGAGCAAAAACAATAAATGATATTTGAAATGATTAGTTCTGTCTGTCCATAAAGCTGTTGTTGAAAAGTACTACTTAAACATGTAGAAAGGAAAGAGAACTTTGTACATAAGCTAAAACACAGAATTCTGTACTTTGTCTTTCCTGGAGAAGTGAGTATTCAGGGACTGCTATGGAAAGTAGTTTGGATAGAAGTGGATTCATTTTTTAAATCAGGAAAATAAATACAGATTATGTACAGATAAATCTGAAGTTGACTTTTGTCCTGCATCAGTTATTCTAATTGGTAGCTCCTTAAAAGAATGTTTCCTTTGTCCCATTAGAACTACCTTAAATCAGGACTTTCTGGAGACTTTAAAGGGTTTCCAAATGGTCTCCCACACCTCTTTACATGTTACAAAAGCAAATTGTTTTTACCCCAAAGTTAAAGGATTCCTCTTTAGCCCTTGCTGACTGTTACTCTTGAGAAGAAAATTAAATGATAAGGATGATCTATACTACCTGTGTAATGACTTTTCTCTAGAGCACTCTATCCAATAGGACAATAATATATATGAGCCACAAGTATGAGTCATATTTCTAATATTTAATTTTCTAGTAGCCATATCAAAAAAAATAGTAAAAAAAAGATAGAATTGTTTTTATTTATAATATGATTTCAACATGTAACTAGTATAAGGTCATTGTAATGAAGTATTTTGGCATTTTTCATCATATATCTTTATATTAGCATGCATTTTGCACTTAAAATACATCGCAGTTTGATCTAATTATATCAAGTGTTCAATATCCACATGGCCAGGATGCAGCTCTTATAGCTACAGCTGAAACTGACTGTACAGCAATAATACTGAAAGAGAGTTTACAGAGTTTTGCTCATTCAACAAATTACTTAGCACTTCCTATGTTATATGTATTTAGCTTAGCCTAAAATACTGTACTAAAAAACCAAGAGGTGTTTCTGAGATTCTGTTGTAAGTAGTACTCCCTCAACAATAACTCTAAAATAACATTATGAGGGGGGAAAAAATCTATTTTTCTTATGTTCTTTTAAAATAAATTGACTTGCTTCAACCAGGTTTTTTTACTTAAGCAATTGTGCATAATTGTAGAAATGTGAATGTTTATCTAATGTGGGTGTTTTCGCTTCTATTTCAACTTGAATATTGAAACATCAAATTTATTTGAAAACTTTGATAGTTGTTTAAACATTATACTGATTATGTCAACAGTGGCTGTTTTTCATAGTTTTTTCAATATGATTGATTTTTTTGTCACTTTTGGAATATGCTGCTATAAAATAAGCTTTGCAGATTGATGAGTTCATTACTAGTGTCAGAGAAAAAAACATACTAGTAATGCACAGATAACGCATTTGTCATGTTTGTCTTAAAAAAATCTTGTGACCACATTATTTGTACATTTGATGGTAAATGATTTCTGACTTTTTTTTTTTTGCATAATGTGATGATCTGGGTTGTCAAGTAAAAGCTTTTAATATATTGGTTTGAATTTTTAAATATCTTTCTCTCTGTATAGGTATATAAAATACTAGTAAGAAAAACCCCAGAAGAAAGCTGGGTAGTTTTCAGAAGATATACTGACTTTTCTAGGCTTAATGATAAGGTAAGTACTTTAATAACTTATGAATGGCATTTCAGTTTTGAAATTATTATTTATCACCTAAAGTTTGCATGCTATATTTGTGACTTTTTCTTCCTTGTTTATGATTTGAGTGAAGTCAAATCTTTGCCACTTAATAAGAAAATTATTTCATTTTACTTTAACAATCTGCAGCCCCATCTCTTGCATTTAACTTCCCTTTTTGGAAACCAGCAATTATTCACTATAAAAAACGTGAAAATTGCTAACAAATAAATATGTTTATGTAATTTTGTGAAATTTGAAAGACATATTAAAGCACACCCATTTATTATCTACTGCCTTGTGTGGGCTAAACAAGATTTGATGCTTAAGGTCAAAACAAGCTATGGACTTAACACAGGGCTCTTAGCAGGTAGCTATGGGAAAGAGCCAGCTTCCAGGTTCATTTGGGTCCTTGGCTGCCTCCATTTTCTTACAGTATAGGAAATAAGTTCCCTGTTTCCTTGTTGGCTGTCAGTGAGAGGGTGTTCTGGATCTTTGCGCTTGGCCCCTCCACCTTACAAGCCAGTTCCCCTGACATTCTCTTTTACTACCAGCCAGGAAAAACCTACTGTACTTTTAAAAGACTCTTATGACAAGATTAGATTCACTTACATAATTGCCTATCTTAAGCTCAACTGATCATAAATTCTAATTAACATTTGCAAAATCTCTTTTGCTCTGTAACATGGCAAAAATCTCAGAAGCAACATCAGGAGCAAAGATCACAGGGCCACCTAGAATCTGCTTGCTATACCTATGAAACAGCAAAGATTAATAATAAACTTCATTATATTAAGAACCCTTATAAATAAAATAGACCCCCAAAAAAGTATACCCAAAAGTGAAAAATACAGCAAATAGTATCTGGGTAATACTACAAGGAAACCCACAGAAAAAAATTAAAGTACCAATAAATTTGAAAGCCAAAGTGTAAATGCTAAACTATAAACTTGCAGAGGAAAAAAATGTTGAAAATCTCTTCAACTATGGTATGAGCAAGGTTTTCTTAGATATGGTCTATGAAAAACAAGCATAAACCATAAAAAAAAGGACCAATTCAGTAACATTAAAATTAAAAGCTTATATGCTGTTAAAAGGAGAGTCAGGCCAGTCTGGAAGAAATTTGCAGTGCATATATCTGACAAAGGACCTGTATCCAGAATATAGAAGGAACTCATAACTTAATAATAAAAGGACAGCCCAATTTTCTTAAGCAAAGAGGTCAAAACATTTGAATGGATAATTCACCCAAAAAAATATATGTTGATTCAAGTAAACGCATGAGAAGATATTAAAGTTTGTCAATAGAGAAGTACAAAATTAAAATCTAAAGAAAATTCTACTACATACCACTTAGAATGACTAATATTGAAAAGACAAACAGTGCCAAGGGTTGACAAGAATTCAGGGCAACTTAACTACTGTCTTACACAACTAGTAGAAATGAAGAAATACAAGATGTACAAAGAAGCTTTGCTGAATTTGATTATATTCTTTTAAGGTTATGAATAATTTCATATTGTCAACAGGATAGATTTTGTATAACTAATATAACTGAATTGAATATTGTGTTTTCTTTTTCAGTTAAAAGATATGTTTCCAGGCTTTCGATTAGCACTTCCACCAAAACGCTGGTTTAAAGATAATTACAACACTGACTTTTTAGAAGATAGACAATTAGGATTACAAGCATTTCTTCAAAATTTAATAGCTCACAAGGACATTGCTAACTGGTATGTAACAAAATGAGAGGTTATGAAAATGCATTCCAAAAACTCAAATAAATCTAGGACCATAATCATTCAACTACAAGCATATGAACATATGACATAGTAGGAAAATTAATTTTCCCCTCTAAGAAAGGTGTTGGAATTTTTCTTTTTTGTATTTGACTTGTTATTATACTTTGAAATAGATGGCAAAGTAAAAAAATTCAGTGCACCTAGATACTGTGATTTACAGTCACCCGACTGTAAGCCCAAGTTTAGTATTAGAACAAAGTGGCCAGCATATTGTGGGATTTTGGTTAAAATAATACTGTATAATTTTCAGAATAATATTCTTTATATTTCTCCAAAATAATGTAAAAATTGTGAAGTTGGGTTAATTTTATAGAAGGTGAAGTGAAAATACCACAACTATTATAAATGGGAAGAAAGACTCCATTTGAGTTTTTGTTTCATACTATATTTACAAGAAAGCTGCTTTATTATTTTATTTCAATAAAATAAAATATTTTTCAAAACTAGGCATCTAGTTTTGGGACTTACATTCAGATGTTAGAACCATGTTGAATAAGAAAAGAGATTACAGTGCATCAATAGCATATTGTCAACACCTATGTCAGTAACCATCTTCAGCAGCTTTTCACATATTAAAAAACTACCCTGTATCACTTTTTCTACCTGCCCTTTCTTCTCAGTCTTCTATGTATAGAATCTTATATATCACACACTTACTAAGCATTTACATCTTACTTCTTAGTGTGTGCTGCATGAGCTTAATAGCTCTTGAGATCTTTACCCATGCCCTTGTTTTCCTCTGTGAAGGAAACTACAAACCAGAGCCCTTCTCTCTATTTTTGTAGATGTAATTGCCTCAAGCAACTACTTCAGATATCTCAATGACCTCAAACTTAAATGCTTGCTCTCCATTTTCCCCAGCATCATCAATTACCCAGAACTTGGAAGTCATCCCTGACATAGCCCCCAGTACCCTTAATCCCTTTATGTTTCAAATCCCATTCAAATATGTTTCTCTAGTTCTGTGCCATTACCACCATAGTCAAAATTGTGAGCTCTTACCTTAGTTTTTGCAGAAACTTTCCTCCTTCATCTACTTCCTCACCCATTCTTCTATAACCCATTGGATTTCATGGTAATTTTTTATAATACAGTTTGACAAAGTCATTCTTTCTGCTGTCTGTCTGTCTGTCTGTCTGTCTGTCTGTCTGTCTATATACTCTGTCTTTCCAATTGCAAGGTAACCCCATTCAGTTACATCAGCCGTATCAGTCTTTTAATTCTCTAAAATCACCTTGCCTTTGTCCCTTAGGGCTTTCAAAAGACAGTGTTGCACACCAATACCCTCAGCCCTAGCCTAAATAACTCTTAAATATTCTTCAGATTTCAACACAAACTTCAAGGATCAGCTCCTAATGTCTTAAGACATTTTTGTATACAATGAATTAACTTTGATAGTATCTCGGCTGATACTAGCTATCCACTTAAGATATCTAAAGAGAACTAAGGAAACAGTCGTTAAATCATTGTCAGATGAGTTTAATTCTTATATAGAGTCCCAGCTGAGAAAGGCTAATCAGTACTTTAATAGTATTTCAGTTTGTAACTATTTCTGTTATTACTCGAGTGTATTTGTCTCTGCAGCTTGTAAGGTTCACATATAGCAGAAGTATCTGTTGCTCTTTTGTTCACAGTACAATTTGTAGTGCTTAGCACAGAGCTGACACAGAATTCACACTTAATAAGTACTGTTGGAGGAACAGCAAAATTGTTGATGTTTGCTATTGTACTTTTTATACAGAAAAAGTTTGACACAAATATGATAAGACCAGTTGCCTATTTTAGGTTGTAGGAACACTGATGCTCCCTAACTTGTCTAGATATATTTTACTTTTCTCAAAAGAGGAAAGATTGTTCGTTAAAAAACATTAAGCAGGAATAAAAACAAACTCTAAAATCATAGAGAAAGTGTCTGAATATATTTTATACCATAAAAGAAGACTTTAAGAAGTGAACACATTGCCTTTCTTTTCTCCTTTATTCAGTAAACCATCATGTCTCTTTTGAAAATGTGATGAACTGAAATCAAATTTATCTTGTAAGCAACTATATTCTAGCTAATCAAATATTAAATAATATGAACCACATTAAATAAGTTTAATCTTCTGATTTCTTGATTTTTTGAATAGTTAAAGTGCATGTAAGGATGTGTTTAAGTTTAACCCTGAGTGTGGTAAAAGTGTGTCATTTTTCACTAGCTGATAACTGATCTCCATCTCTGAGGTAGGCATTACTGCATTGGAGATCCTGTGGTTTCTGACATTGCATACTGTAACAGTGGTCTATTCAATTCACAAGTAAGTGTTTCAGGAAAAGAAAGATTATTTGACCAGATAAATTGGAGAAAGGTTTCATTTGTCTTTCATAGAGTATTAAGATTCTAAGAAAACTCACATGAAAGAATCTGATATGCTCTGTATCTGTTTGCCTGCCTACTTTTCTCATGTCACATCAGATATTTAGGAAAAAGTAAGATAACTTAAATTGAGCTGGAAATAAGTTATGTCTTGTTTATTCTTAGGGCCCCCATTGTCTTTTTTATGGGCAGTAGGTAGCATTTTTTTAATTTCACACTATAAGAAATTGCTTAATATTCTTCAAAACACACATGAAGGAACTGAATGCAGAATAAGTCATCTGTATTTGCCCTGTACTATACTATACTATACTATACTATACTATACTATACTATACTATACTATACTATACTATACTATACTGAATGTGACAGAAGCAGAGGGCAGACTCAATTTGGCCTTAGAATTTATTTGAAGATTTCTGCTTCTGTTTGTACAAAATAAGTAGTTTGATAAAATGGTACCTGGCATGATAAATGTAGCAGAAACACCAAGAAAAGTAAAAGCAAGGATCAGGCAGCATAGGAACTAGGAAGTAGGATTTGAAAGCCTTGAAATGCTGTGGGTTAGAAAATGAGTATGAGTCAGAAAGAAATAATTAAAAAGGTATCTTGAAAGTCTGAGGTTACCACATAGCCACTTATGAATTGAAAGTCTCTTCATGAAAACCAACATAGTACTTTCTACACTTTTTTTTCCAGATTTTATCTCACACCATCATTACTGTTCAGAAGTTATAAGGCATAGGTCCAAAACCAGAAACAGTCTATAACTCAGTTTTTCAAAGTGAAGGATATATATAAAGGCAAGTGGGGGTGCGGGGGAGTCGTTATTGTACAACCTGTTATGGTAAAATATAATTATTTATTGCTCTAGTCTATTTTAGGCCATTTTCATAATGGTGCATCATAACTAACCACAGTAAATATCTTACTGTCCTTTTTTTCAAAGGTATCATGTATGTATCTTGATTACAAAATTTCTCCTTTTTCTTTAAAACTAACTTGCCTATTTTGTTATATCAGCAGAACCAACTTGTTTAACACTGTATCTTCAAAGTAACTTCTGCTTTTTGCTATCTTTTATATACTTACTTACACCCCAGCTAATTTTTTTTCCTTTGAAAAGCCTCGCAGTAAGAGAATTTCTTTGTCTGGATGATCCACCGGGTCCATTTGATAGCCTCGAAGAAAGCAGGGTAAGTACTGTATTACATATCACATGAAAAGAGGAACAAATAATACAGTACAATAACTACATTGTTTTTTGAAGGGAATAGCCCACAGAATATTATAACTTTGGCCCATGCTAGTTTTGCACAGAAAGCTTTTAATATTTCAGTCAAAGGTTTCTTTCATTGGCATAAATAGCTAGTTAAATACCTAGGTCAGTAAAAAATGAAAATTCATACATATCATATACTCAGTGCAGCTCTAAAATCTAATCCCATTATTTTCTTCTCATCAGTGCAGCTCTAAAATCTAATCCCATTATTTTCTTCTCGTGCTGTTTAAAAAACTACTTGGAAATTTATTTGAATTTAAAACTACTGTTTGTATACTGCAGTTTCTTCCATCCAAGCATCAAAGAATCTACAGTTAAGATCAAATTTGAGACTTACATTTAGAGGTGAAAGTTATTGTCTTGTTACCAATTCAGCTCAAGCTTGATGCTACTCAGATTACATTAATTGACGTGCTCAAGTGGCCTATTTCTCAAAGCAATTGGCTAGATGGACAAAATAGATTGGGTAATAATGGACCAGGTAGGATTTAGTTTTTCCCAAATGTTTAATTGTGTTTAAATGGAATAGATTTAATTGCTGGATTTGTAATGTCAATTTTTTGTGCTAAAGTGAATGGCGTCATTTTTTTATAACAGCTTTTTTGAAGGTAAATTTTCATCCATAAAATTCATCCATTTGCTCTTCTATATCATTATAAGTACATAATAACTTTTTTAAACTTAGAGAGCTGTGCCACTGTAGCTTTACTATAATCCAGTTTTAGAATGTTCTCATTGTCTCAAAGAAAATTCCTGCAAACCATTTTGCAGCCCATACATCTAGCCTCAGATTATCGGTGATCTGCTTTCACTCTTTACGGGTTGACACTTTCTGTGTGTTTATGTTAAATGAAATAGTAATTTCATTTATATATAATCAGTATTTAATATACATAATGTTCTATATATACAGTATGTCTAATACACAGTACATATAGTCTGCATCTAGTTTGTTTTCAGTATCATCCTTTTCAATGATTATCATTATTTCATTACTTCTATTTATAAATGGTTTTCCTTTGTATACATATAAATATACCACATTTAATGTTTAGTCTCTCACCAGTTGAGGAAGTTTTGGATTTTGTCCAGTTTTGTACTATTATCACTGCTACAAGAAACCCTCTAGAATGCTTTAGCATGCACATGTTTTCATTTCTCTTGGGTTAACTATTCCACAGTGGTGGAATAGTTTGGTTATATGACAATTAATGTTCAACTTATTTTTAATGATTTTTTTAAGATTTTTTAAATTTATGCATACAGAACTAGGGTATAGGCCAGAGGTCCAGGGGCAGTGAGAGGATTCACCAGAGTCAGAGTGGGGAGCAGGATGAAGTACACTGCTGAGGGGAGAAGTGGGCAAGACAGAAAAGGTCTGCTGCGCCATGTGGGTCACATCCTGGGAGGGGACCAAACTCACACCAAAGCGGCCATGGCCAGCTTCACAGTGCTGCACTTTAACCCACTGTGCCACCAGGGAGGGCCCTGATGTTCAACAATTTTAAGAAACTTGCAAACTTTTTTAAAGTGGCTGTACCAATTTACATAACCAAAGTATGTGAATGTTCTCATTTCTTCACACTCACAAACATTTTTTTATTATCACAAAGTTTATTTTTACATCATTTTGCACATTTTTTTTTCCATCGATTGTAATCCTCACGGGTTTCCCATCACCAAATCACCCCTGTGCCACCAGCATAGTCCCGTGCATTTCCCTCCCTCCCCCCCCCCCCCGTTGTTTTTCATCCCACCACTCCACCCCCACAAAATGTCTCTGGTATATGGTTGTTCATTATTTTTGTTATTTTCTCGCCTGGTCCATTATACTCCTGCTATGAGTGAAACCATCTGGTATTTTTCTTTCTCTTTCTGGCTTATCTCACTAAGCATGATCTTTTCCAGCTCCATCCAAGTTGCTGCAAAAGACATGTGTTTCTCTTTTTTGGTTGCTGAGTAATATTCCATTGTATATATGTACCACATCTTTCTAATCCAGTCATCTACTTTTGGGCATTTGGGCTGCTTCCATGTTTTTCCAATTGTAAATAAAGCAGCAGTAAACATGGGGGTACAAGTATCTTTTTCAATCAGTGTTTTTGACACTCACAAACATTTTTATGGCATCTGTCTTTTTGTATTAAAGCCATTCTCAAGGGTGTATAATGCTATTTTATTGTGATTTCAATTTGCATTTCCCTAGTAATCTCTTTTGCTGATCACTTTCTTCATGTCGTTAGCCACTCAGATGACAGTGTTTTCTCAAGTTTTTTGCCAGTTTTCAGTTGGGCTTTTTCTCTTATAAGAGTTTGAGTTCCAAGAGTCTTTATTTTGCATACAAATCCTTTATCATATATGATTTACAAAAAGTTTCTTTAAATCTGTATATTCCTGTTCATCTTTTAATAGTATATTTTTAGTGTAACTTCTAGCTTAATTTTCATGTGAACACTTCTTTATGGTCTGTGCCTATACATTTGTAGTTTATGCTGTGTCATAAGATCTCTTTTCCCAATGCAGGATCACAAAGTTTTTCTTCTACATTGTCTTTAGAAGTCTTATAATTTTAGCTATTACATTTAGGTCCATCATTCATCGTGAAGTAATTTTTTTATAAGGTATGAACTACCAGCCTTAATTTCTTATATATACCTAATTGTTCACTATGTGAACAATGTCAGGTGAACATAAAAGGAAGGGTTTGTGTCTAGGGTTTAATTCTCTTCCTGTCATCTACCTACTTATCCGTAGTCCACTGTCACACCAATTTGTTTACTGTACTTCTTATGACTACTGTTTGCATAGTGTATCTTTCTCTATCATTTTACATCACTCTGTGTCATTCCATCTAAGAACTGTCTCTTACACATAACATATAAGTGGTCTTGGTCTTTTATTCAGTCTGATATCTCTGCCTTTGGTATCTGTAATATTGCCATATTTTCTATCTCATCTGTTTGGCCATCTTCACTGCCTACTATTGTGTGAAATAAACATTTTTATATTAAAATACCAGTGAATTTAAAATGACTCCAGTATATCTCCCTTTTCCTTCCCCTTGTGGCTATTGTTGTATTTTTTACATCTATACTTTTTGTAAACCCAACAGTGCAGAATAATAACTTCTTTTTACAATCCTCTATCTTTTAATGGGCTTATATGAATAAACAAGAAAAAAATATTTTATACAAATATTCTATACACTTTTATATTTAGCCATTTGCTTGTTATTTCCAAGTCTTTTCCATTTCTTTCTTTGGATTGATAATATTGTATTACATTCTTTCAGCCTCAGGGCCTTTCTTTAGTATTTTTTGTAAGGTAAGCCTACTGACAAGTTCTCACAGTCTTTGTTTATCTAAGAATGCTCATTTTCATTGGCAGGCTTTGGATTCTTTTTACTTTCTGTACATTTGTATTTTATTCTGCTGTCCTTTGGTCTCCATTATTTCTAAAATCAATCTTTATAATTAAATTGTTGTCATGTATATGATGAGTCTTTTTGTCATCACTACTTTGAAGATGCTTTTCTTTGCTTTTAGTAATTTGCTTGTGTATATCAAAGTATAGATCTCTGTTTATCATAATTTGAAATCTTTGAGCTTCTTGGACTTGGCAAATTAAATATTCTACATCAGATTTGGAGAGGAATTCATTATTTTTTTCCTAGGGTTCATCTAATTAACTTCAGAAAAGTCTGAGTAAACTTAAAGGCCAAAAGAGAGGTAAAGGTTAAAATGTTAAGGGAGAGTGTAAGTGATAGAGTAAGCTTCCAAAGGAGATAAGGCTTAATTTGAAGAGTCCCCTGTTCTTGAGAACAGTAGGATGCAGATATAGTTAGGATTCAGTAGTAGTAACATAGTGTAGGGGATTTTTCAGGGGTGAAGGGTTAAAACAGCCAAGGACAAGAAAGAGTAAGAGAGAAAACTGGGAGTGATTTTAAATAATTCATCAACAATACTGAAAGCGTCATCAAAATAACGTTATCGAACGTTTTTTCATGCCATTATTCTTCATGGTAGTATAATTTTGTTTTTTGTTTTAATCTTTATTTTAACAATGGTTAGTATCCTGGATATAAAGAATAGAATATCACTTTTGAGTTAAAATGAATAAGAATCAAGTGCATGCTGAAAGTGCTATTAGTTTTTAAAAGTTGCTATAGTAATATATATGCTGAGCTACTGCAAATGGAATCAATAGCCCAGTTTTTTAAATTGTAACCATCTAAAACTGGTCAAAAATAGGAGAATGGAAACTAAAACAGTTGTTATTAGTTATTTTCTTCCTAATTCTAATTAGATATTACATACTCACTTCAGGCATATGGGTTTACTTCTTAATAATTCTCAAGAAAGGGGACTTGTAGTTTAAAAGTTCTTCCCTTGATAGGGACCAAGAGAACAAGGTAGCAGAGATCTCAGAGGTTAGTGTGAACAAATCATTTGGGTTTCATACTGTGGTTTAATTACCCATGTTCTTACAACTTTTCAAAACTTGTGCTTGATTGAAATACTGTGTAAGAAATTTTATTCTCTTTCTGCATGTGTTTTTGGCTTTAAGGCTTTCTGTGAAACTTTAGAAGAAACTAACTACCGTTTTCAGAAAGAACTACTTGAAAAACAAAAAGAAGTAGAATCACTGAAGAAACTGCTTACTGAGAAGCAACTTCATATAGACACTCTAGAGAACAGACTCAGGTGTGTTATGATATTTACAGTTTCAGTCTCACTGATTCAGCTCTGATTCTTATTCTGGCATAACTGCCTTTTGTATTGAAATATGATTTAGGAAATTTCTGATTATAAGTTATGGACTGTTGGCCCTCCCTGGTGGCACAGCGGGTTAAAGCACAGCACTGAGAAGCTAAAGCCACTTCTGCATGAGTTTCGACCCCCGTCTGCCCCAGAGGTGACCACATGGCGCGGCAGACCTCTCCTGACCGCCCGCTGCTCCCCTCAGCAGTGTACTTCGTCGATCTGCCTGTTCTGCTCCCCACTCTGTCTCTGGTGAAGCCTCTCACCGCCCCTGAGCCTCTGGCCTGTACCCCAGTTCTGTATGAACAAATAAATCTTTAAAAAAGAAAAAAAAGTTATGGACTGTTGGCACATTTCCTTATAGATTGGGGAAACTTCCTTTTTTTTTATTTAGGAGACACTGGACATTTAAAGGATGAGAAAAATTAGTATATAGATATACAATAAGATAAATACTGTATTTAACAGTATCTTTGGTATCATCTAGGCATTTATGCCAGCTTTTCACATATGAAAGAGAGAAAGTTTGCTCTCTGCAAAATATATTGAGTTGATGTTGAAATCATTTTAAATTAAGTACCATTTGTCTGTTACAACTTAGCATTTTATTAGCCATGTGACTACATTAAGACCTAAGAGCTGGAGACTACTAACAGCTACATATGTTTGCAACAATAAACATATACATATTGTATTCACAGAAAATAACTTGTTGCTGTGTCTTACTTTTAGAACATTATCCTTAGAACCTGAAGAATCACTTCCCATGTCAAGAACAGGAGAACAACAGTTACTAAAGGTGGAGTCCTCTGCACTTGAAGTTGACCAGGATGTCATGGGTGAAGAATCTAGGTATATAATGTTTAGCTTATTGTGGCCTAATCATCTAAATGATTGGATAGAAAATACCCTGTATCTTGAGTCTGGTGATCAAGCAGAGAAAGATTATAGATATTCTAAGTGTTTATAAAAATGAGGCTTTGGCATCCAGATTATAGGTTTTCTATTACTTAATTTGAAACTCTGCTGAACTAAGTATGCTCTGATTCAGTTAATTCATTCATTTTTCAGTATTGAAAAGTTAATCTTCCTTGATTACACTTTTACACTTTTTACACTTGGTTACACTTTTTCCATTTAAAAGGTGGGACATTATAATAGCAACCACCCTGATGAAAAGATAATATATTTGAAAACAAAATTTTTATTGCATATAAACCCAAGGTAATTATTACTACTTTAGTAATAAAGGTTAACTGTAATTATGAGAACAAATTATAAAAGTAAAATTATAAAGTAGATTTTTATTGATAAATATTTCTGGGGAAACTAAAAAAGTTCGAAATTATCTCCTAAGTTGTTATATGGACAATAATTTTCTATTTTCTTTTGAAATTAAATGGATATTTTCCATTGAATATTTCATTATTTATGTAAGGTAAAAGATCTGACAGGTAATAGTAAAATGAAATAGTACATATGCAATCTCTTCATCGATGTTTCTCTCCTTTTTTTTTTTTGTAGAGCTGATAATAATCCATGCTTAAGTATTAGTGAACCTGAAAATTCTATGTCAGAGATAGAAGTAGCAGAAGTGGCATATAATACTGAAGAAGACTAATTCATCACAAGAAGTTCCCATCATTTTTATGTTTTAGCAAATTTAGAGTAGAATGACAAATATTTAAAAAGAAAAAAGTAGACTGGAATATTTACAGAAAAGAGCTAGAATAAACATGTATAAAATTTATATAAAGAAAAAGCTTTTTTTTTAAATTATTGGTATAGAAAATATATTCACTGCTGCTTTAAAATGTTTTATCCAACCTTTGTATTTAATACACTAAAAAATTCTAGTTATTAGAGTTCTGTTATCAATGCCCACAGTTCTGTTACACTAAAAAATTCTAGTTATTAGAGTTCTGTTATCAATGCCCACAGTGCAGGAATTATTTTGGTGTTTTTCCAGTATGTTGCTCCAAACTAATGTGTGCATGTGTTGTGTGCATGTTTAAGTTACTTAGAAAGGACAAATGGACATAAATTGCATGTTGCTATCTATTTGATAGATATGTCTTTGTAACTCTGACATGATATATTTTTATTAGTGGGTTAAATTAGTGGCAAAGATGAATGGAGTTTTAGATAATGACATGTTTACTATCCCTAAATAAAAATTGCTTACTTGAAATGTTACTGCTATATAAAGGAGAAATAAAACTTTCTAGAAACAAAAGAAAACAGTTTAAAAGAGGTGTAATAATGTAACTAAAGTGATAAAAGAGCCTTGATTTTAAAAGTTAATTCACTGATACAAAAATACTATAATTATCCAGCTTACTGTATTATACTTGTTTATTTCCCAAATATATTTATCTTAAATCTGTATCTGTAGAACCAGTGAGTTTGCCTCTTCCAGATACTACCTCTTTTTGCTAATAAAGGCATACTCTTTTGAAAATATACTATAGATTCTAAGTAAATAAAAAAGTCCAAATAAAAAGCCATATTACTACAAAGTTCAGCCCTGTTGAATCCTGGCATGGCATTTTTATTCCTACATATGTGACTATGTTGCTATAGTGTATTATGGTTGATTTTCTTTAATATATTTAATCAAATGATGCACTTTATGATAATTAAACGTTTTGTGCCAAGTTTAATTGATAAATTTCTTTAATTGGAGTTATGAAAAAGAATTATGTAGTGCCTTTACTCTTTTGCTTTGTAGAAAAGTCTTGTAGGGTCTGTGAGTCAGCTTTATAAAAAGTACTTAATGCATCACATATTGTTGTTGAAAGTGCCTTATTTTTATCATATGAATTTAGTCATTTATTTTCTACTTCTGTTGTTTTGCATATTGCTGTTAACAAGGACTATAGTCATGTTGGCATTTTGAAATACCAGATGTTAATATTGAAGTACATATGCTTTGTAAAATGGAGGGAAACTTACTGGGGAAATAAAATAATCTCCAATGTTTTTTCTTTCCTAGCAAAGTTTATCAGTATTTTAATGTATACATTAAGATGTGATTGCTTAAATTCTGACATAGTGTAAAATATGCATTAGCTATTGATAATCTTTAAGCTTAAAAAAGACTGCTTTTTACCAAAGTACATAGAATTTTTAACGTCTTTGTGAAAAGGCACATGTGCTGTCTCAAGACAATATTTTCCACAAAGTGGAAATATGTATTAGGAATGTGTTTACTCTTCTGAAAGGCAAAGGGTTTACTTGTTCATTTAAATTATTCTAGATTTTGAAAGGATTTTAAAAGGATGGTCATTTAAGTTAATATCATTTCAGTCTAATAAAACAGGATGATCTTCGCTAAATTTCACATATTATAGTGCTTCATGTCAGTGATATAAAGTAAACCACACACTTTGAAAACCTGGCCTTTAAAAGGATTGTATTCTAAGTTTTGGATGGGTCAGGAAAAGTTGAACCACTAGTATTTATAGAATTTACCTTTTTTACTTTCATAATCATTTCATTCTCAGTATTATGTTCATTTAATAAATTATTTTTTCAGTACAGCAGTAGCTGTGTTGTTCAGATGTTGATGCCATTTCCCCCTCCTCCTATGTTCTTATCCCAATCTCTTATTATTGTAAATTGAACTATAGTTAACTACTGCATGTCCCAGATGTTGACAGTCTATGGTTTCCTTTTTAACTTTCAGTTTATATTACTGATCATTCTAAGTCTTTGTGAATAGGAACAATGTACTTCAAATGTAACCAATATTATATTAAAAAAAATTGAACATATCTGAAACAAGTAAACACTTTTGTTTATAATCTTTTGACTTTTAAAAATTAAATTCATATGTTGGTAGTATAACCATAAAACTCAGAAAATGTGTTTTATACATCTACTATGCAAAAACTAACCATTTTAAAAGCATATTTATTGAGAATAACCCTAAAGCAGATTCAACTTTACCTCAGTGAACATAATTGGTGGGGGAGAAGACCCTCCCTCCCAAAAAAAAACACTTTATTTAGCTGAATCATCTGTGTAGTCTAGTCTGTGTAGTCTACTATCACTGCCTGTGATAGTAGAAAGAAACAGGAGCCTTAGGTTTAAAAATAATTTGGTTCTGGAGTTTATTACTTATGGGAATAGAGAAGTTTGGGTATTATGTTAAAGCAGTTTATTTTTTCAACTACAGTTGTACATCACATAATAGATATTTCAGTTGATGACAGACCACACATAGGATGATTGGTCCCAAAATTCCTACTGCCTGGTGACACAATGACTTTCCTTCATTGCAGGATGTTACACAGACAGCTGATTCTTGCAGCTAGTATCTGTCACATCTCTTGATATCATTTTTTACCCTGTGCTTGATTTAATCTCATGTTGAATTGTTCTTTATGGTCCTTTAAGCATATACAATTCACTGATAAAGCTCCCAGGAAAAGGTCACAACAATGACCTGAAACTGAAATGAGAATTAAGGACTACAAAAGCAAAAAGTCATTGATGGTTATTGCTCACAAGTCAGGCATGTCCTGCTCTACTAAGTGCTAGGATTTGGGAAAAGCAAATTGTTAAAAAAAATCTGCTTCAGGGAACCTCCCTGGTAATGCAACGGGTTAAAGCGCAGCATTGCAAAGCTAGCCACAGCCTCTTCAGCACGAGATCGGTCTCCAGCCAGGGAGAACCCACATGTTCCTGCAGACCTCTCCTGTCTCGCCCACAGCTCCCCTCAGCAGTATACTTTGCCAGTCAGCCTGTTCTGCTCCCTACTCTATCTCCAGTGAATCCTCTCACTGCCCCTGTACCTCTGGCTTGTACCCCAGTTCTGTATGCATAAATAAAAAATGGAAAGCAGCAAGACTGACAAATTCAAAAAGGACCTATAGCAGATATGGAGAAATTTGTAGTAAACTGTAATAAAACTAACAATAATCAGAAAGAGTCCTAACCTCTCAACATGATAATCATAAGCAAAGCAAAAATTTTGTGGTGTGGGAATACTGGGCCTAACTATAATATTGAATTTACTACTAACTCTAAAAGATTTCATGATGTGATAGTGATGAGTTGTTAGTGCTGATGAAAGATAGTGAGAAAGTTTTTGGAAACTAGATTATCTTAAGTTACTTACCAGAACAAATATTCAATGTGGATAAAAGCTTGTCTGAAAGGACTTTCTCTGAAGGAGAGCTAGTGCCAGGAGAGATGGAAGCCACATGTGTTGCTGAGGGTATGGAGAAAAGAAATCCTCACTGTTGGTGGGAATGTAAACTGCTGTATGGAAATTGCATTAAAACTAAAAATAGAAATGCCATATGATATAGCAATACCACTCCTAGGAATTAATCTGAAGAATATGAAAAAAAATTCAAAAAAAAAAAATGTTTGCCTCCCTATGTTCTTAACAGCGTTATTCACAATAGCCAGTATACAGAAACAACCTAGATGCCCATCAGTGGGTGTCTAGATAAAAAAATTGTGGGGTAGGATATAAATTCAATGGAATACTATTCAGCTAAAAGGAATTAAAACCTGCCTTTTTGCAACATGAATAGAATTTGAAGTGATTATGCTAAGCAAAAAAAGTGAAATACAGTTGCGGAATGATTTCACTCATGAAATACAAATAAAACAAACTAATTTACTAGTAAATGAATAAAAATGAATAAAAACTAGACAATTGTCAGAGGTTAAAGAAAAATGGGAGGACAAGTAGAAGGGTCAATTTTGGAATGAGAATGGCACTAGAACTTTTTTGGTAATTGAAGTGATGTATATATTATATTAATATTGGAGTGTGAAGCTATACTGAGAAATTATTACTGTAAACCATGGTAAACTGCTAAAATCTTATTAAAAAATCAATGATTCTAGAGTTTTTCCTAAATTATATACAGTACTGTAAATCAATAATATCTCAAGGAGAAAAATAAAGATGATTTTTAAGAACAGTAACTATACAACAAACTCAGAAAACTAGCCAGTTGTAAGCTGTGGGTGGGTTTGGGGCCAGAACATAGTATTAACCTCAAGTTATGGTATCAACCATACCCAGAAATTAGAACAAATCCCTCTTGATACTTTCTTAACAGTGTTCACTAATAGAAAAGTATAACAAGTGTTATCTCTACACAGAACAAACAGCAATAAAAAGCAATACAGCCAAACAGGGGAGTGGGGAGGGAAATGCACAGGATTATGGTGATGGCACACAGGTGACTTGGTGATGGGAAACCCGCGGGGATTACAATTGAGATGGAAAAAAAAAATGTACAAAATGATGTAAAAATAAACTTGTAAAATTAAAAAAAAAAAGCAATACAGCCAATATATACTCAATAGATGAAAAGTAACATTTCATCATAATAGATACAGGTGAGATTAGGTAGAGACATTAAATACCCTAAAATAATGCCTGCAGCCTAGCTAATTATATTTAAAGAGGTATTATTGGTAGATGATGGGCAGAGCCTATTGTATGGCCTTTACTAACATGTAAAATGTACAGCTCCACCTTGGGTGACTAAGCTCTTAATTGGAGGATTCTCTAGAATAAGCTTATCTGCCTGTCCAGTTCCCTGTGTTGCAAACACTATTCAACAGATCTTTGCATTCCGTTTCTCTTTGCCACTTCTGAAAAAGAATAGGATAAATACTTCCTTTCTCCTCCCCACTTGCAGCTAGATTTGAGCCTGTGGCGTGATTATGACCGATGACATGTAGAAGTCTGCTGGTAGCTTCTGGGAAATTTCTTGCTTTTCCCATAAGACAACAAGCAGGCAGCTGATGAAATGTGTACCCTTTCTCCTAATCTCAGGTGATGCTCCTAAGTACTACAGCAGTCTTCTTGCAAAAATGAGGTGTGATAACGATGAGGAACCACTATGAAATAGTGTTTTGTTAAAGTGTACCAAGATAAAAACCATCTTAAATTTGGATTGTAGATTGTAAGCATTGGGGAAGATGAGCAGGGCTGTGAGAGAGCTTTTCAAGGAAAGCAGCATCTACTAGACATCAGATCTGCTTTTGACAAATATGAAAGAGAAAACCACTGTTCTCCTTGTATGTGTGTGTGTCTATGTAAATTAATATGTGTTGATCATATTAATATATATGTGTGTGTTAACCTGCCCAAGCTGCAACAACAAAATAAAAAAAAAATCAGTTTTGTTCTCACATTTCCGGAGGCTGAGAAGTCCAAGATCAAGGTCCAGCAGGGTGCCCGATGCAGTTCTCTTCCCTCCTGTTGCACCTTCCTACTGTGCTCTCACCCAGCCTTTCAGTGCAGTGCTCTGATGCCTCAGAGGGATAAGGACACTAATCCTGTTAGATAAGAGCCCACTTTAATTCTTTTAAGCCTAATTATCTCCTTGTAGGACCTTGGCTTGCAACTGTCCCCAGGGCGGATAGGTTCAACATTTGAAAGAGAATTTGGGGGCCCTTAGTATCATTTTCAACTAGTTTCAATGGTGGAGGGAAAGGGGGACAAGCCCGCAGGAAGACTGCAATTCCAGCCTCCTGTGAATCTCTAGCCCTGGGCTTCCTCTAGCTTTCTTTTACCGGCCCTTAGCTGTTGCTCCTCCTCTCGAAGCGGCTCTTTGAGTAACACAGCTCTTATATCCGGGACTTCTAGGCGCAGATGTGCACATGCGCACACTCCCTGACTTGGTCCACGCCCCACACGCCCTCTACATTAAGAAGATCAAGGCTGCAGGTGATGGTCACAGAGGCCATCAATAAAGCCTCACCAACTTCATTTACCCTACAGACCTCATTTTCGAATACAGCCATTTAGGGGTTAAGGTTTCAACGTATGAATTTGCGAGGTGGGAACAAGTTTAATAAGCATTCAGTCCATAACAATATAATATGGACATAACATCATTAAATGTTTACAAAGACATTTCTCAATCCAAGAAAGTAGATAGCTTTTTTTTATTTGCTCATTCAACAAATGCTAAGTGTTATGTGTTGACACTGAGTTATAAAAATTACAGAGAAGCATACGTTCTCTCCAAGTTCAGAGCAATACTATTATTTATGCATGCATGCATGCATGCAAGAACGGCATGCGGTAGATGTCAGAGGTGAAGGGGCAGTGAGAGGATTCAGCACAAACAGAGTGGAGAGCAGAACAGGCGGATTAATCAAAATACACTGCTGAGGGTAGCTGCGGTAGAGACAGGAGAGGCCTGCAGCGCAGTGTCCAGTGACTTGGAACAGTTTCCTAGTGCTGTGCTTTAACCCATTGTGCCATTAAGGAGGGCCCCAGAGCAGTAAGATTTTTTTATACAGTCTGACCTGTATACTATACAGTATTTTGAGTACTGTAATAGAAGTTTTTGTAGTAAATTATGGGAATGTGAGGGCCAGAAAGTAGAAAAGCACAATTTTCACTATTTTTTAATCCTGTTACCTTGTCTCCTTTTTTAGTCTTCCAAATTCTTTGATCTAGAATCCCCTAAAAATGATCATTTGTTCTCATATTTTATTTCAGATGCTATTAATAAACTCATGTAACTTTTAATTTTAAATGCAGCTGATATGTGCAAATTTAGAAACAAAACTTGTTCTTGGTAATCATCAAACTGAGAGACAAGGGACAGACAGTGCAGCGAAGGGGGAAGAGGACAGGAGTATAGGTCTTCTAGGAAGTGGCCCACTAGCCGAGCATCAGGGAGTGATGGGTGGCACTGAGTGTACTGTCTAGAGAAGAAACTTTTGCAATTAAAGTGCATTCTGAGGTTGAGTGAAGAAATGACTTAGCTAAAAGTTAAATGGC